ACTGTGCTTTATGATTTTTTCGGTGAGTTCCTCACTACGTTCGCAGCACCAACTGGTGTGTAGTTCATGAACTAAACACATTTCAAAAGAATATACAAAAAGCTATAGTGAATTCCATTCACACACATCCACACGAACGGTCGGCGGATTCAAGTGTAGCATTCACAGTGTATGATTTGAGTTTGCCGACAATAGCACCGTAAGATCATACTAAGCGCGAGTATCAATGAATTTATTATTGAAGAAGTGAGAGAGCGATTCGTTTGGTGCCAATACATAAAGTGTTCTCGCGTAAAATCACAAATGTTTTCATTTTAGTCGATTGACGTGTGTGTAGTGAATTCATGCGTAGAATTTTTGCTGAAATTTCTATTTAAAGGCTAAAACAATCGAATCCAATTCGAATTTTGTTTTGGAAAAAGAATTGTGAGAAAGATTTAAAAAAAATCGATTGCGTGATATTCATCTGAAAATAAAGGAAAAGAAAATGTCACGATACAATCAATCAAGCCATGGACCATCAAGTCACACCCAAACTTATAAAGTGGTAGTTGTTGGCGGTGGAGGCGTAGGAAAATCAGCAATAACAATCCAATTCATACAAGTGAGTGAATGCAGTTAATATATATTCATACATGCACAACAACATCAAGTCTATTTTAATTGCATTGAGTGCATCAATGGTGACGATCGATGACTGGACGACTGAGCAGAAGAAAAAAAAACAACAACCAAAGTTTATTGATGAATGAAAAGAGATTTGCCATATGCCACTTTGGTGTCAAGACAAAATAAAATTGATTATACATTCATATCCACCTTCTGTGGGACTGCCTACGTAACTTGAAACATAAAACACGTTCAAAAGAATAAAACAGAGAGAGAGAAAACAAAACTTACGACAGATTTATAAATATTGAGATGTGTATTTAGACAGTGGCAAACACAAACATATCAAGATCATGTGAACGTGTCACATTTTTTTTATACTGATCGCTCTTCTACAGTTGATTTGTCTGAATTGTACAAAATGAAACATGAATATATCAAGAGCAATACACCATCAATGCACAACTGCATAACTGTTCTGGATGCTGTAGAATATTATGTCAAATTAAACGGAATCTAGTGTACTGTAAAAGGAATAAAAGACTCAATAAAATGGGTTGCGATGTGTTGAAACAAAACATGCACAATCACGTTACTTATGTTACTATAATAAGGTGAGTGAAAATCTCATAAAAATGTGATGCGCTTGATTTGCATTTAAATTCCTATAGCAATTAACTTGTCGAGTGATTGTTATTTACATCGTGACCAACATAAAATCTATTTTTTTTATCTATCATTTTTACGGAAGATGTCAAAATAAATCCATCACAACTGTTTCAATTTGTATAGATAATAAATACGATTTATTCATTTTATATTCGATAAAATCGATACTGTAGGACGACCCAACAAAAGTATTGGCACGTTTTGATTTGAACCGGACGTGGCAGCATTTCTTGATCTTTTTCGGTGTACCGTCTGTATTGTTTGTTGTGTCGTTTGTATCGCTGTGTATTATAACACGTTCGGTGAAAGTCGGCGATGACGCAAAACTGCGGTGCAAATATTGTACGGATGAGAATTCAGACATCGACGACATTGATGAGATTGCAAACAAATGCGTTCAACGTCTGAATGCAATCGAAGAAGCAGTTAATGAACAAGAGAATGCAGAACAACCGAGCACAAGCAAAGTAATTTCATAAT